TATATATATATAATCAAAAACTAAATGAAGCTATGTTCCACAGTTATGACTATCTCAAATTAATAATATATAAAAATAAGTATAATTTTTAATTTCTCGAAACAAGATGGTTTCCAATAAATTATTCCATTGATTACAAGTGTTGTTTTATTGAAAACTGTTTTTATTCAAATTTGCAAAAATTTTTATCCTATATTTTCTCGCTTTTGACAATCTGAGATAGTATTGGTAAGTAAACACAGCCTTAAGAATGAATATATCTCGTATATCATCAGAACTTCCAAGATACCTCAAAGATGTTTCTAGAGCCTTATGAAGCTCCAAACTCACTAATCGAGTGGTAGTTTCGACTAGGGTTTGCTCATATCGCGATTGAGTGAGGACTCCGGACAGTAGTTGCCGTATGTCACCCATTGTTCCGCTCGTTGCTGATGGATTTCTCAGGATCTGCTCCAATATGTTCGACAATATCGATGTACCGCTCAGAGATTCTAGAATTAATCTTAATAATTTGCCGTTCAATATATCCACCTTCTGCCTGTTATTCTCTGAATGCGATCGAAACATAACTTCCACTAGGGGCATCCAGTCGAGATTTCCCGCAGATCTCCTACATATCCCCGCAAGTTGAATGGCGGCGTGCATCGTTTCGCTTTCCGAAGCTTTATCTTGTCGGTACATCTCCAGCCTATTCTCAAACTCTTTCAACAAAAGATCAAACGCTTCCTGGTAATTACCAAGCTTCTCTAGCATAACCGCCTCTGCATCTTTACAATTCCATTTCTGGACAATCTTTAACGCCTCGTCCAACCTGCACCCGTGTGGTCCGTGCAAGTGAGCAACTACGCGTGCCGGCTCCAATTCGCACATTAACGCTAAATACCTCTCCAAGTGTTCAGTTGTTAATTCCAAAGAAACATCCTCCTCCTTGTATTGCGCGATCTGATACAATGCTCCAAACAGCTTATATTCTAAGCTTACATTATCGGTAAGACTCTGTAGTATTGCATCAATCTTGTTCTGCAATCGTGTTGCAACAATCGTAGCAAACTGATTGGCATTGATCGTCAGAAGAGTTGAAGTGTGAACCGATATAACTTGATCTAACGAAGCAGTTGACAGATGGTCGAGCCAAGGCCACACATCGTGATGCCTCAATGGCTCCAAAATTATGCACTCACATACTGCCACCCAATCTTCTCGTGCACTGTACAGTAATTCCACGACTCTTATACTACAACACAAATACGATAATGTATTGCGCGCGCGCGCGCATTTGTGTGTGTGTGTGTAAAGGTGTTTCAGACCTAACACACTACCTGCTGATTGCAGATTCTTGAAATAATTTTGAAACGAAAAGTCTAATACCAAAAATGTCGAGGCTATAAATGTCGAGGCCAAAAATGTCGAGGCTAATAGAGTTTTTAAATTAGTAGCGATTAAAGTTCACTAATCACAAAGCTGACATTTCGCACACTCAGGCATAATGATATGACAAGTAATGAAGGTATGTCACGAGAGCCCTCTCAGCAATTTCGAGATTATCATACAATTATCATGCATTGATATTTTTATTAAAAAATTATTCTTGCTTCTATACGAAATTTGTATATTGCAAGCACTACGCAATTAATATAAAAAAAAGTATATGACAAAGTATTAATTGATAGCTAGATATTACATGTATCAAAATAAATTCATAATCATGTTCGTGTGCTTTGTGTAAGTACGGTATTATTATATTATTCACAGAAATATTTTTGTAATAAGTAACACTATTTTTAACGTAAAAAGAATAAAATATTTTGATAAAGCAGTACTTAAAACATGTAAAATACCAATTTAACTAATACTAATGCACTTAAATCAAATTACTATATATACGTATTTCTTAATAATTATTCTAGTTAAGATATTGAAAAAAGTTAAAAATATAAAAAGTGATATAAATTACATCAAAATTTGTATGTATGTCGTTAAATTTCATAGACAGTAAATCGATGTATACAATTCTTACTTATAATTAAAATATACATGAATTTGTAAACAATCATGAAATATTTTGTACTCTTTGTAAAAGATTTACAACGTTTTTAATACGTCACACAGAATACATACAAAAAACAAAATTATAAATCGAGATGCGTTCTGTACGGTCATGCTAAATCTCTATGCCTAATAATATTTTCTAATAATAAAATGTACCGTTCTTGCATATTTAATTCTTTTTATGTTAAAAATAGTTCATTTACTTCTTACAAAAATATTTACCGTGCATACAAAGCACACGGTCATGATAATGAATTGTTTTTTATACATGTCATAATATCGCTTTTAAATTAATATTTTGTTATATGTTTTGATATTAATTATGTGTACAAACAGATTCTGTATAGGAGCAAGAACAATTTCTCGATAAAAATATTATTAGGTAAAAAATATTTATATGGTAATCTTGAGGTTACTGAGAGAATCCTCGTGACGTACCCTCACCACTTGTTATATCATGCCCGAGCGGGCGAAATTGCAATCCATGATTAGTGAACTTTAATCGCTATTAATTTAAAAACTCTATTAATCTCGACGTTTTAGTATATTAGACCTTTCGTCTCAAAATTACTTTAAGAATCTGCAATTAGCAAGTAGTGCGTTAGGTCTGAAACACTATATATAATCAATAAAAAAGCATAGAGATTAATAAATCAATTAAAAATACTTACAAATTTGCTCTATTTGCTAAATTTAATAAAGTATTATCAGAGATATTGCACAGCTTTTTAGAATGCAACAATCCCAACACAGCGTTTTCTCTCTCAGTCTTAAAGTCCTTCGACAATTCCATGTGCACGTCAATACATAATATATCTATCATTTTATTCAACGTATTATACTCTAACGTAACTGTGCTTTCACACACTTCGTTTGCCACGAATATAAGAACCATAAATTGTTGCTCCAGCGTGATGTAATCAATATTTTTCGGAGTAAGCGGCGTATTCGACATAACAATGCCTAACAAGATGTCTATGAGCCTTTGTCGGTGTCGGAGACCCATTTCGGAGGTAAATTCTGGTTCCTGAAAGGCGATGGCAATAACATCGAGAAAGCCTTTCGCATCGAATTGCAGTAACGTTCTCAAATATGGATATTGCCTCTCCATATCATTTGCCAAACTGGAATGCTGAGATAACAGGGCTCTCAATATGTCTGCTTTCGCTTTCTGTGGCACGCCTTCAGGGAGCTCATCCTTGGGAAATCCACGACCAGCGAGACAGCAGCTAGTATAAACTAGAATGGCGTTGCCGAGTTTTATACAGTCTCGGGAAAGAGCGGCTAATGGATCCTGTAATAAATTCTGAAGTGCTGGCACCAATTGATGAATAGGTGCTGTAAAATCGCCCAACGCTGTTGTCTGAAGATAAATCAGCGCTTCCCAAAGTCCTCGTTGACGACAAATTGTCGTTACCTATGGACAAAAGTACATTTTAAAATCGTTGCAAATGTAAATGTCTATTTTTCATCGCTTGCTAATATTGAGACTTACTTGATGAATATCTAGACAATCCACATTGAGCAAAACCACAATCGCTTCCAGCGAATCTACTTTATCTTCTTG